TATATATACACTTACATCTCTGTTTCAACTTTTTTTGTAATAGAGGTAATTATGCAGTTGTTACAGATAAACATGAATTGTTTTACTTGTAAAAGCATTTGTTAGTCAGCCACTTTCTGAATTTATACCGCTTGCATTGTGCGTGGAAGACAGCTGGAGCCAAAATTCTACATTTTTAAAATTCCTTAATGCACGTTGCAGGGCGTTGTAATGTGTTGTAACATATTGCACTCTTTTAAATGCAACAAGTTCTATTTTCAGCCAGCAAATACCAACTCAATACGTTGGTCTGAACTAGGACAATTAGAATCAAGGCATTTTGTATTGTCCTTGAATTGGAGCCTCCATGCGTAACGCTCGCCAGCGCATTATATTGCAGGTTGTGTCAATAGGCCCAAATACACACATATCTGCTTCACTGCACAACCAGGCAGGTGACCTCTATTTTCTTCTTCAGCTTTACAAGGTCCTGTGTCATCTGTTTTTTTTTTTATTGGACAATAAAGAAGCATTATCACAAGGTTGATACATTTGTTCAAGCACCTTGCAGGTGACACATATACAAATATAAAATTGGAAAAAGTCATATCACCAGAATGTATATGCAGTGTGGCAGACCTGTATGAATCACAATACTGGCTAACCAAAACCTAAGTGTTTTGGCATATAAAATAGTTTATATATAAATATTTCCATTGTATAATAAGCTGTTAGGTAATATTTCTATTTTAATTGTTGATTTCATGAATTTATATATTGGCCATTATTTGGTTGCTACAGCAGCTTTACTCAACCTTTTTTCCCAGAGAAGAACCCTTGAAATAATTTGTAGGTCTCGGGGAAGCCCAGCTAATAATGATTATGTCTACAGTTCATGGCACATTAGCATAATCAGTACATTGTAGACATTTTAAAAGAAAAATTAAGAATATGATATATCTAGCATATTTGTAATTATTTAACATCTCCGGTTCTATCGTTAAACAAACGGTCTACTGTCCTTAGTGCTACATGACAGGTACCCAAAGCTGCTACAATTGAGAGCTATGGCATGCTGTGTGGGCATGAGGTGTAGATGAAGTTGTGGATACATTTAAATCTTGGAGATTTTCGGGGACTTCTGCCTATAAAGTGTACACCCTGGGATGTTTTTGGGTGCATATTTAACTGGGGAACGTGTTGTCCTTAGCTGGATATTTATACATAAATCTCTAAGAACAACATCTTGAGATTCAATGTTTGGCAGTCATTGGTGTAAGTTTGTGTGCAGCTTGTTTTTACCCCTGCAGTTTCCCATAGAATGTGAATTTACCATGGCATGGCAGCATATTAGACTCTCCCATATGTTCTGAGAAAACAGACATAGCTCTGCATAACATGTCCAAACCACAACTCTCCTACTACTGATTATTGGCATACTCTGAAAAGACCTTACATTTGTAGAGACTGTAGAATATATATTGGATAGATTAATGGGTAGACATAAAGGTATATTTATGGTATTGTGTCTGATGTTGTAAACTCTGCTCATGGAACAAGGCCCGTAACAAGGGCAAGGCGAGTGAGGCACTCGCCTTGGGCGCAGGCTGGTTGGGGGCGCAGCGAGGACCCTGATATTCCGCCAGATGCTGGGGGGCAGTGCGACCCGAAGATTAGTAAGTGTGCACGGCCGCAGCCGCCTGAGGCCAGAGGACTGCATTACTCAGCAAGCAGCCTGGCAGCGGCTCAGTGCGGCAAGGGAGGTGTGGCCGTGAGGTGAGGTGACTGAGGGGGATCCCGAGGTCCAGTCCAGGCAACATGAGGTGGCTTCCTGGCAGGAATCGGTATCGGACACAGACCAACAGAAAATCGTGGAGAGCTGCAGCCTGCGGGTACTGTGCTGTGTGTGACACTGTCAGTATATCACTCCCCTTCTTCTCCATCACTTCTTCTGTACTGTAGGATACAGTACAG